GTGAAATTCGATAAACCGGATCTTCGATAAACCGGATTTGGGCCTAAACCGGACTTTTTTGCTGGAACCAAATCACGTATATTAAAATAGTTTCGATATACCGGAGTTTACTAGTAAAAGCTCGATATTCGCTATAACGGATCAATTTTCTAACCAGCAGCTATAGTAAAAATGATTCGATAAACCGGATCACGTGATCATTAACCAATAAAATTTAAGTAACGTGATGTGGTAAATCTTAATTTTGGCCAGAATTATAAGAATCTTAATTCCGGCCGGCTGAAGTTATGTATTACTTATATCTTCAATTAAAAATGTTTTATATTCATTTTCATGAACTCTATGACTTAAAACTAAGATGAAAAAATTAAATTATAGCATATATTAGTTTTATTAGCACGAAATTTTTTTGAAAATTCAGTATAATAAAATTTCAGTTTTTTCGATATACCGGATATCCCGAAAAACGGATATTTTTAGTGGAACCGATAGATCCGGTTTATCGAATTTCACTGTGTATAGCGTTTATTATCACTTTAAATTTTTACTGTGATCAGGATATATATTATTTATAAAAAAAAAAGTACTGAAAATACAGAAAAATACCAAAACAAGAAATGCAGCTTATTTACACTAATGAAAAAATAGATATAAACGAAAAAAAAATAGTTAGAAATTATAAAAATAAAATGAAAAAGTATTATCTGTTATTTGGTTGGAGTTATTAAGAAATTTTGGAATCTATATATAATCGGTCAGGGAGTCAATTATTATTATTATAGAAACCCAGTAAATAGTTTTTGTATAAATTTATACCAAACGGGCTCATTGGCTCAAAATTAGCTCAAATTTATGCAAAAAATAATCTAATCTAGAGTCAATTATATATGGATGAGCCCATTTGGTACAAATTCATACAAAAACTATTTACTGGGAAATTAATTCGAAAACAATATATAAAATATTTAATATAAAATATTCTGAATGAGATATCCTATATTAAAATCAGTATTAATAGTAAAATTAATTCCTATTGGGTATTGATTATTGGAATATCCTTCGGACTTTGACTGATATCTCATATCCCCATCAAATAAATAATAAATATATTACCATCCTTCAAAAATGTAAGAAATCAATTTTTTAATCTAATTTCAACTAATAAATCGACACTAAGAATCATAAGACTACCACTAGTTTTAATAGGAGTATTCATATCTGCTAAATCGATTTCATATTTTCTAAACAATAAAGCCATCAAACAAACTAATTCAATCGTTGCCAACTTTCTTCCTGGACATAATCTTGATCCTCCACCAAACATAAAAAAAGAATTCTTCTTTGGTTCAAAATTTTCATCCATCCATCTATCAGGGTTAAATTTATTAGGTTCTTCCCAATCATCATCATTATTATGAATAGCTTTAATGTTAATTAGAAACATTGTATCAGCTGGCCAGTGATATTTCGCTATTTTATTAGGTTTATCAATATATCTTGTCAATAAGCTTACTACTGGATGAATGCGCGCTACTTCCTTTACAATTGCTTCACAGTATCTTAAATTATAAAAATCATCTTTAGTAATTGGTCGCATTTTATCACCTTGGAATATATTTTCAATTTCATTTAGCATTTTTCTCTTTACATCTGGATTATGTGCAATATAATAGACAATGAGTGAAAACATATTCGCAGTCTATATTTGAAATAATGTTTAAATTAATTTTAAATTAAAGTACATTACATTTATATTAAATTTCAATATTAAATTTTATATAAATCTAAACATGAAATTTTTCTAAAAAATTTACTTACTTTATAAGTTCCAGTATGAATTCCATCAAGTATATTAATACGAATTTCGGTATCACTCATAGTTCTCATGGCTTCTACACCAGTTTGAATATAATTATCATCACGAAGTGTATTTTTAATAATCATCGATGTCAACATATCATGCGGTAATGGCTCATCCAATGGTGTTTTTTCGATTTCTTCTCTACGACTCTTAATAATTGCATTCAGTCTTTGATTAATAAATTCCATGCTTTTAAGCACTTCATCTGCTTTATTTTTAAAAAATGGAACATAATGTCGTATAAAAGGAGGAATTACGAAAAATATTGTATACTCCACAAAAAGCTTACGAAGTCCTTGAGTTAATTTCACAGAATCTTTGAATCTTGCTGATTGACCCTCGTATTTTTCATCATTGAGAGTGTCAAAATAAGCTGCCATTGAATAAGATCTTTTACCAGTTAACAGTTTAAAAATAATATCATTCGTGTAATGACAAAACCATTCAGAAAAATCCAATTTATTTTTATTTTCTTTAATAATTTCTTCTTTAAGAAATAACTTACTCCAATAAATTTCTAATTCATTGAAAAGTTTGTTTGTCTGATCAATAGCTTCAGTAGTAAATCTTGGTGACAAAATAGCTTGATTAAAAAAATGATGGTTGAACATCCACGATTTATAATCATTATTTAATGATAATCCTTTTCCTTGCAATCCCAATTCTTCCGCTCCTTGGCAATTGCGAAATTTCATCTCATGCGTATTGTTTGATGAAAAATCATCAAGATATTCTCCTCGACATAAAATTATAGATCGTACACTACCGTAAACCTCATATATGTCACCATATTTCTCGTAACAGTAATCGACAAACGAAATAATATCTCCATTAAACCACAAATAAACGTAAGGAAAAATGTCGATGAGTGGGAATGGAAATAGACAAGGTAAAGGATTGACGCGAGTAAAATATTTGTAATAATAATATGTCACATACGTCATTAATATTGTAATTAACAACAAAACAAAATACTCAATCATCATATTATAACTTTTTTTTTAAAGCTATGATATTTTGCTTAGGCTAGGCTTAGCTCGTGTTTAAATTTAATTGGTTTTTTGTAGGCGCTGTTGTGTACTTTTTTTGAGTATTTTTTTTTGTTATTAACTTCAGGTAAAATTTTATTTTATTTTTATTTTTTTATAACTTTATTAGTATTGGAATAATTACAAACGTAATTAATTCCAATGTTAACGTAAGTAAGTACTGTACATTGTATCAATAAAGTATCTTCAGGTAATTTATATTTTTTAGCAATCTGCAAATTCTAACAATATCTGAACTAATTTGATTCAAGATGTGTGATCGTCAATGATCTTTTGCATGTGGTAATTAA